AAGGTATAAAAATGTAAGAACTAATATTCAATAATAACGTCAAAAAACAGAAATAAGAGTATAATCATTTTAAAGATATAAAATATAAGAAATCATGTATTGGAAAGACTACTAGAAAACAGAAGAATATAATAATGGAAGGAAACTTTGGTGACAGTAATAAACACTGATGGAAACAAGGATCAGAAAAATAAACCAAGATAAAATTAAGATTAAAAAATGCTATTTTACATAACAAAACTTAAATAAGCTTCAAAAAAATTTCAGAAAACCTCATGGGGAAGTCTTTTTTTGTTCCACAACAAGGAAAAATACTGTCCATTTAGAAGAATGGCAAAGGAATTGTAGGAAACTGTGTTATACATTTAAGATATGGTTTCTAGGTATGAATTTCTGAACCAAGGGTTTCAGAAGTAGTAGCCTAAGTAGCACAGGAAGAGTAAAATGCTTAGCAGTGACATAGCGGCTATCATTTCACAACAGAAACCAAACTTATACTACACATAAGATACAGATAAGAAATAATAGGTTTTTTTAATACATTGTCTTAATCAGCCCACATCTAGAGAGTAGTGTTCAATTCTGAGTGCCAGTTGGCCCTCAGAAATAGGATATGTTTTGGGTTCTGTGATCCTTATGATCTCTGTCTCAACTATTCAGTTCCACTGCTGTGGTAAAAAAAAAAAACAGCTATAGGTAATATGTTAACAAATGGGCATGGCTGTGTTCCAATAAAGCTTTACATACAAAAAACAGAGGTGCCAGATTTGAGCTGGCCCTGTTTTAGATGAGAAATATTGATAAATATAATCACAGTGTTTAGGGGCCTGGAAATCCAGGAATGATTTAAGAAGTCACTATTATTTAGCATAAAGAAAATATACATTCTAGAATGAATAAAATTTGTTTTAGGACACTCAGGTGTAAGACATCCCCATCTCTTTATTTAACAAAATTAATTTTTTCTTGGTTTTCCACCACTAAAGCTGGGAAAAAATTATTCTTGGGCTTATGTGATATTTTCCTTGGGGATTAGTGAGAACTACAGAATTCATAAATCCAGGAAATTGTGGAAAGGCCTTTGGTCTTCAGCTCATGGTGGTTCTTACTAGAATATTTGTTGCCTAAGGCTACATGGTTAAGTCTGATGCAAGTGACTCTGGTACTCCTCTGATTGATTCTCATTCATTTGTCACACATGGCTACGTCGTCCTTCACATTGGCTCTCAAGGCTTTGGTGCTCATCATTTTCTTACTGGGCTGTGTGGTCTAGGAGCAAGATTTGCAAGAATCTGCCATTCCTCGATTTTCCCAGGCTCAGAAGAAAATCCAATTCTCTTTTCATGGGGCCCAGCCACGAACACCCCCTTTCCTAGAAGCACCTATTCAGTGGTATAGATCTGGCAAGAGGTGAGGCAGATGTTTTTCTTATAATGGTGGCCACAGTTTCAAAACCATCTTTGGACTAGTGGTCCCACACAGGCCCTGCTGGTCACCTTGAAACATATTTTAAGATCTGAGTGGAGAAAGGAGGGATATACATATGAAAAAAACTGACAGTTCAAGGAAGCAAGTGGTAAATATCAAGTAAATCATGAAAAAGAAAACAAATGGTATGTGAACTAAAAAAGAGGGATAATTTTCAGGTGGAATAGACAAAAAATATCCCTTGTTTATTTTTTAATTTTTATTTCCAGTCAAGACCTTTACCTGAGCTCTAGGCTCTCTCCCTCTACCACCAACTTTCTCTCTCTCTCTCTCTCTCTCTCTCTCTCTCTCTCACACACACACACACACACACACACTTTGCTCTAATTCCATTCCAGTCTTCCCCACTAGTATTCAATCCGAAACTATTTTAAATTCCTTCCTCTCCTTTACCTCCCACACCCAGTCAGTCATCATCATTACCAAGCTATGTCTTCAGCAGAGCACCTTTCATTGCCCACAGTGCCATCCATATTCCCTTTGTCTTCTTTCTGGCCCCAGTTATATCCCACATCCATTTCAGGACAGTCTTATTTGGCCCCTTTGCTAGCACATCCTCCCTCCATTTCTCACACCATTTGAAGCTGCCGGAGTGAGCTTTCTAAAGTACAAATCTGACAAATCTTTCCAATCTACATTCTAAAGTCTTCCATTGCCTTCAAGCTAAAACCACACTCCCTGGCTTGACATGGATGACCTTATGATATGACTGCTGCCTACATATTATTTCTTATTTCTTACTATTTTTCTTATTGTTTTTACTAACCTATAGTTTCTTGAAATGGGCTATGATCTCTTTCAACACACTCCTTTGATATTTCCTTCTAAAAAGACCATCTCCTCTGATTTTATCGCCTGATTAGTGTTCCAAAATGAGGTGTCAGTGGAAACTTTTACTTGCAACACTGAGAAAGTACCTCTCCCTGTGCTCTTTAGAAACCTACACATACACTTCCTATGACACTTATTCCACTGGGTAAAAATTACCCATTGTCTTAGCTATATCTCTCAAGATTATGAGCTACTCGTTAATATTAATAATACTTTTCATCTTGATAACCCTAAAACTTGAGAGATAATAAGAAATCAATATATTTATGTCATTAGCAAAGGCTTAACACAGAAAACTGATCTTCCCAGAGTGACTATCAGTCTTCATCTTGTTAAGTCAAGTGGTCAGTTCTCAAATCTATCAGCAGTTTTTGTCACTTGCTTCACCTTGAAACACTTTCTTTACTTGATTCCCATATTTCACACTCCTGCTTTTTCTCTGATTGTCCTTTGTCACTTCTCAATGTTCTTTGTTGGTTCATCCTCATGTCATGTTAGACCTATTCTGATCTCATCTATACTTAGTCCCTTAGTTATCTCAGACTCTCAAGACTTGATGCTGTCTCTTTGCCAACCACGCTCAAATTCTCTCTCTTCCCTGGACTTCTCTGAACTCTAGGCATGTGTATATAACTGCGTGCTTGACATCTCTAGTTGACTTTACAATAGAAATCTCAAATTCAACATTTTTTTCTTCAATTTTATTGAAGTATAATGGACAAATAAGTGTAAGGTATTCCAAGTCTACACGGTGATTATTTGATGTATACATATATTGTGAAAGGAGTCCTCCCATCTGGTTAATTAACACATCCATCACCTCGAATATTTATCTTTTTTGTTTGTGGCAAGGTGTGGCGGTGGGGTGGAAAACATTTAAAACAAAGTTCTGATCTTTGTTTGATGCTGTAAATGAAGAAGCCCGCTCTTCCCCCAGTAGAACACCCATTGTTCTACCCTGTCTCCCTCATTCATCAATTACAACTTTATTCGTCCTTGTAGTTGCTCAGAACAAAACACACTTTTAGTTATATTTGACTTTACTTTCTCCTACTCCCCACAGACATTTCAGCAACAGAACATTTAACTCTAATCTTAAATATGTTCAGAAGCCAACCACTGCTCACCACCTCACTACCACCACCCTGCTCCAAGCTACCATTTCCTCTCATTTGGCTTCTTCCATTAGCCTTGTATGTGATCTCCTACCTTCCACTTTTGTCCTTCTCAGTCTATTTACAAGACCACAATCACAGATATCCTTTTACAATAAGTCACTTCAGTCACAACCTTGATCAAAACCTTTTAGTGACCCTTCATCTTAAGTCAAAATCAAAGCCTACATCTTAACATGGGGTTGTAAGACCGAATATCATCTAACTCTTCATTATCCTCTCTTTACTCCCCCCATCTCTCACTCTGCTTTAGCCACACAGTCTTCTAGAATGTCTTCAAAGAAGCAACAAATTCCTGCTTTAAAGTTCATGCACTAGCATGTTCTTTCATTTCCTGTAAGAGTTGGTTCAAATTTTATTTTCTTAATAAGGCCTTACCTGGATCTGCCTATTAAAAATTACAATCCCCCATATCCATTCTTCATATCTCTCTCTTCTGTGAAGTTTTCACCATAGCACTTATAACCTTCTAATATATTATTTTATTATACTTAATTATTTTAATACTTATACTTAATTATTTATTGTAATTCTCCCACCAGTGCCACGTGAAATCCCTTTGGGCAAGAGTTTTTGTTCCTTTTGTTTACTGCTATCCTCCAAACTCCAAAAGATTGCCTGGTGCATAATCTTTCAATAATAGTTGCTGAATGAACAACGGGTATACACACGTTTGCATTTCTGAGTGCCTGACAGTGTCTGTATTATAGTAGTATTTTAATGTTAAAAAAAAAAACCCACTATGAGATAATTACAGTAGCCATTTTAAAGATAAAGGAACTAAAATTTCCAAGGTTTGAGTCAGTGATGCCTCCTGAATTTCTGTATAGTCAGGACTTAAGGATAGCATTCTGCTTAGTGGGAGGAAAAAAAAAAAAAAACTTGGAACTCAGAAAAACACTCTCTTTTCTTACATGGTATGCTCAACTTGAGAATGGCTTAAGAAGTGCTGATTACATGTGCCACAGGCCAATGTACCTCTGCTTTTGGCACCAACTCTTGCTAAAGGTTTTACTGTTTTACAGAGATGTATCCCAGCCAATATCTTTAGGAGACAACGAATCCAAGAATCTGTCTATAACAGAAGTTTATTTAGGGAAGTAGAAAATGACAAGATTGATGATAAAATGATGGCCCTATTGTGGGGTTTTAAAATGCTTTGCTCAGAATTGATTTCACCCATTGGTTTCCAAATCTGTGCAAATTCTTAAAAATGTAGATGTTGTGGACCCGCCCTATACCTCCTACTGGTACAGATATTTACAAGCTTCCTGCATTTGTTTTAAGCAGCCAGCTCTGTATTCCTACCATGGCTTTTGGAAATATGATAAGCAGGTGGCAGTTTGCATATATTGTTATATATTTGCAGTTTACGCCTCTCTATAAAATACTCCCATTTCTGTGCACTATAAAGCCAGGTAAATCTGACAGAGGGTGGGTGGAATGTCTTTTGGAGCAATGTGTCATGGACTGCCTAACAATAGTATTTTTCTCCATCTGTTATAGGTCAATGCACAAACTGGCCCAGTTGGAAAGACTTGACCTAGGCAATAATGAATTCAGTGAGCTGGTAAGCGAATGTATTTTCTAAACTTTATAAATATGCTGTAGGAGATTATTTCTTTTGTCTCTATAACCCCAGGTATTGAATTATCCAAGTGCACGTTTGCATTTTGAAATATAAAAATAAAATGAAACCCGGGATATAAAGTGATTGTTTGACTATATGATAAACCATAGAGAACTAGGCAGTATTAGATTCACAAAAAAGGAGAGGAAGAGAGAGAAGCAGACGAGGTAAGCAGATGCAAATTGACAGTTTTGAGCACCAGATATGAGCAGGCATCAAGTTCAGTATGTCACATATGTTATCTCATTTAACCCTTATTTGACATGTTGCCATGTTAACTTTATGAAAATGAGCTCAAAGTGGTCACCAATTTACACAGCTTTTATGTTGTTGGACAAGAGTTAAAGACTTGATTAACTCGAAGTTCATACCTTGAAGACTTCTGCCTTTGAGAATTCCTTAGTGGAGGGAAGGGGTTAAAGACCTTCTATTTACAATTGTACTGAAAGTTTCTTTCTAGTGAACACATATTTCCATCTCGTTGCCACTAAAATTGACAGAATTTTTACTGCTCCTTTCAGGCTTAAGTTTTCTTTAAAATATGCCTGCAGACCAAAATCTCAAATGCAAATTAGAAAGCAAAGAGTCCTTCATAAGTAGACTGTTTCTAATTCAGAAGTCTCCTCTTGAACATCTTCAAATTTCAGAAATGCAATTCATCTAAAATGTATTTTAACTTTTTAAATTAAAACATTTAATTAAGTAATCAACTATTCTCTCCCAGCTGTGTTGCTAATAATGTGACCTTAGGCAAATTACTTAACCTCTCAAAGCCTCTTTTTCGATTTCTCTAAAATGGAAATTATAATGGCTCCTCCTTTAGAGGGTTTGTGTGAGAATTAAATGAGATAATGCATGTGCAGGGCCTGGAAAAAAGGGATTCTCAGTAAACGCCAGTGTACATGGTATAATCCATCCTTCATCTTGAATGTGCAAAGAATTAATTTGTTTGACTTTGACCATAAGTAATCTGGCCATTATTATCCGAGCCTCTATCAGCTGTTTCTTGAGGGTAAAAGCTGACAATTATTCTTCTGAAATTAAAAATGTAGTCTGATTTAAGAAGTTCCCTTTGGGTTGTGTTCATATTCCTCGCATAACAATTCTGTCGTGTATCTTCATACCTTCCCCTGCCTCTGTTCATAACATGGAATTTAGGCATGTACAAAGGAGGCTATCCATCTTTCTGAAGAAAGGGGACTCCCTGGTCTCAGCCTGGCTTTCAGAAGTGTTCTGCCAGACATGCTGGCCTCTGGCCTGATGTCTGCAGCGGATCCTGCCCTTTATGTTAAATCTGGAGTTTTGAAACCATAGTCTGTTCTTTGGGCTCACGTACTACTCCCCGTGAGTACTGGCCAGCTCCCCCTTGCCTTTAGTGTCACCACTCAGCTGTCACCGGCTGTTAGATCTATTAGTCTGTATCTTGTCTCCTCTCCAGCGTCAGGCATGTCATCCATCCCCAGTTTCTGTTGTGAAGATTCCTCTCTAGCCTTAATAAATTAGTGACCCTGTAGCCCACATGCAGGCTCTGAGAGTGCACATGATGTGTAAACTGAGAGAGGCCCAGGGAAAATGGACTCTGGAGCCTCCTTCCTCCTGTTACATCATACCACCAGGTTTGCCCTATTTTGGATGCACTCAATTTTGTTACAGGGCAGTTTGCAAGGTGACCTCAACACAGATATGAGGGCAAAATGATTCAGTACATAATCCAATGTACCTCAGGCTTTTTTAAGGTAGATACTTATTAATAATATAGGTAGATAGATTGGTAAGGGTAGGGAATAGCTATGGCAAAACTGTTTTGTACTGGGAGTTTAGAAATCAGTTGTTAAAAAGCTAAAATCTGCCCAGGAGCTAGGTCTAGTGGTTATAAGAACATGGACCGTGGATTCAGACAACTGAGGTTTGATTCTCAATTCTGTCACTAGCTAGCCAGGTACATTTGGTCTGTAGCTCATTCTCTATCCTCAATGTCCTCTTCAATAAAATAAGGGTATAAAAGCTATTTGGCTCATAGGCTTTTTGGGAAAATTCCATGCAATAGAATCTATAATAAACACTCAATATATGTTTCTATGAATTTTGATTCTGTCAGGTATATGACTTTGGAAATCAAATCTATAAATATTTGGACCAAAAAGATGAGTAGGATATATTTATATGTTTTTGAAAGCAGACATAGTAAAAATAACCTTAAAAAACATAATAACTCATGCTTTATGGTATCTAAGAAATCATCGAGGAGAAACATTTTTTTTGTTTGTTTGTTTTTGAACTCCCAATATTCCATGCTAGTCACAAAGCAAGTCTCTTAAAAAAAAGAAAAAGAAAAAAGTTTTTCATTTGTTCCTGAACCACTTATTCAATAATACTGAGTTACTTGGCATTGACAGCAGGGAGGAGAGTTGGGGAGTATAATTATGGAATTTCACATTTCTGTCATTCACTTTAATCAGATGTCTGGCTTTTATTAGTCATATGTGTGGGACTATCTATTGTTTCTCTGAAAGTAACAACTTTTAATAAGAAAATAAGAGAATTTGCTTTGACTTATCAGGCCTCCAGAAACAATGTCATGTGTATGGAAGGGGATAAGTTCCATTCTGTAGCTAGGTATTAACACCTAGGAGATTACTGTTAGAGAATTCATTTTGTGTGACATTCTAAAGAGACAGATATGGAGGGAAGATGATAATAAGTCCAAAAAAAATTTTACACTGTGGAAGTCTAATAAAAAGAACAGAAGTTTCATTGCTTGAGACTCAATGTAAATATCCTAAATTAAGTTTGAAGTAGAATGATCTACTTAAAGATGCCTCTGTCTTAATGAAAGAATCTAAACAGAGAGAATTATTTTACATTTCCAACAGCAGTAACCACCAGAAAATACTGGGCAAAGTTCTGAGAACATGATAGATTCTCAGAGGTTTTTTTTTATTATTGTGGCTTGTTTTTGTCAATATAAAATTAACACATGTCCATTTTTTTTAATTTAAAAAGTTTTAAAAAATTGTAAAAATTATACTAAAAGTCATCCATGATCTCTCCCCTTCTATAACCATTATCGATACTGTTGGTATATTCTTCCCCTACCACCACCATTTTCTTTTTTGGTTAGCTCAAATGAGTATTATTCAGGGCCAGGTCAGAGATGGGAAATATTAGGTTGATGCGTTGGGTAGCATCAGTTCTTAAAACTCCTCTGTAAACTCTGGGTAGACAGCCTTCTAACTGTCACAGAATAATCAGGAGCTTTCCAAAGCCATAGAATGGTCAGGGACACTAAAACAGATTCAGCGGTTGCCATGGGCCCCAGGAGCCCTGTGATAGGTATGTATTTTACGTATATATAGATCTATACAATGAACTAAGAGTCGTATTCAATTAAGCACTGGTAGTGGAAATACGAAGGCCCCCTGAGCAAATCACCATGAGAGAGAATACTGGAAAACGAAGCCGACTGAGCAGCAGAGCCTGGAGAAAGAAGGGATCAGTGGATCCAAAAACAGTCAGGACACATGACCATCCCCATAATCAAGCCCCAACTTCCAGCTCCCAGCCTCTCATTCCCTTCCCTATCCCCTCCCAGTATTGAAGGATAATAAGGAAAGTGTCACTCAGAGCCCCCAAAATTTGCCACGGGAACCTTCATCAAGTGTCAGCTCTAAGAAACAAAACGAGAAAGCTTCTTTGCAAACCAGAAAGAGAAAAGTGCTGAGCCAGGAGGAGGCAAAGAGTGGACTGCAAAGTGGTCTGTGTGTGCTCAGGGTGCAGCCACGTAATGCAGGCTGGCCTGGCCTACAGCCTGCTGACAGCAGCAGGGAGAGTGACACGGTTGGCAGTGGTGAAGGAAAACAGAGAATGGTTGTCACTGGACCAGAAGCTCCCGTTATGTGGGAGGTTTCCTGGTCTCTACACACCTCCCTGCCACAAAAACACTCCTAAAAGGAACGACTGGGGAGGAGGATCCCCGGAAAGGCCTGATTTCTTGATCTCCTGCTGTTGGAGTGGAGGGAGGTCAGGGAAGTGAGATTTGAAATTGCATTGTAACTGCCGCATAATACATACTGGTTCTGGGTGTTTTTATAGAGGTAGTTCTGTTTACCAAATTGGAATTATAGGATGCATTCTATTTTATATTAATGCATGATGATCAAATTCAAATAAATTCTTTACAAACATTATGTTTTAGAAGCTTTCTCTGCAGCTGAATTAGGAAAACTGTCAAATAGTACCCAAAAAATAAGTAGTGAATTGAAATTCAAACTTAAGAGAAAATAGTGCAGAGAGGTTTGAAATTTCATTTATATCAAATGTGATACTTATAAAATGATATATGTAGTATATGTTTAAGTTACAAAACATAATAAAATGCGTCTCTGTGAACCCACTGCCGTATTTTTATGAACTAGAGTATCACCAGTCCTGTACTGCTACCTGTAGGCTCTTACCTAATTCTGCCTCATTCCCAGAGACAAGTACGATCCTGAATTACATTTAACATACCCTACATTTATATGTATGTCTAAATATTGCAGTTTCATTTTGTTTGTTCTCAGACTTTCTAAAAATATGACTATACTACAACTTACTTACTTTTTTCTTCACAATCATTTTTGTCCAGTTTTTTATTATATTGCTGCTATGAATATTCCTATAAGAATTTCTCTAAGGCATATGTTTAGAAGTAGAATTTCCCAGTCATTAATTGTACACATATTCAACTTGAAAAATAATGTATTTTTTTTAAAACGGTTGTACTCATTTACCAGCTCTTTATAAGAGCCCCCAAGCTCCACATCTTCGTCCACACTATACTGACAGCCTTCATATTTTTTCCAGTATAATGGCTGACAGCAGCATCTCATTGTGACCAGAATCTGCCTATCCCTCATCCCTTTTGAGACTGGTGCTTTTTCCATATGTTGGTGAAAGTT